TGGGACAAAGGACATACCATATGTATGATGAGAATACCAAAAGGAGAAGAGAGAAAAGGACTCAATAAATATCTGAAGTAATAATGACTGAGAATTTCTTCAAATAAACATTAGACACCAACCTACAGATACAGGAAGCCCAGAAAGCACCAAGCAGGAGAAATGCCCCAAATTTACACCTAGGCACATCAGATTCAAATTGCAGAACACCAAAGATAAAGAAAAAAGTCTTGAGAGAATCTAGGGGGAAAAAAGACTTTACCTAAAGAGAAACAAATAAACGAATCATTAATGTATTCAACTTCTCTTCAGAAATAATGCAAGCAAGAAGACAGTGGAGTTAAATATTTAAAGTGTTGGGAGAAAAATCCCTATCAACCTAGGATTCTATATCCTGTGAAATTATCCTTCAAAAGTGAAGGAGAAATAAAGACATTCTCAGATAAACAAAAATTGAGGGAATTTGTTGCCAGTAGATCTGTCTCACAAGAATTGTTAAGATCTTCAAAGAGAAGGAAAATGCTATAGGTCAGAAACTCTGATCTATATAAATAAAGGAAGATCATTGGAGAAGGAATAAGTGAAGATAAAATAAAAATTACTATTTTTCTTATTCTTAATTGATCTAATAGATAACAATTTGTTCAAAATAATAATAGCAACAAAGTATTCCATTAATATATATATATTTTGTAGACACAAATATTAAATCAAATGGATCACAGACCTAAATGTAAAATGCAAAATTATAAAACTCATAGAAGATACCATAGGAGAAAAATCCAGATGATCTAGGTTTTAGTGATGACTTTTTAGATACAACACCAAAGCATGATCCATAAAAGAAAGAATTGACAAGCTGGACTTTATTAAAATTAAAAGTTTCTGCTCTGTGAAAGACATGGTTAAGGCAATAAAAAGAGAGGCCACATACTGGAAGAAAATATTTGCAAAAAACATGCTGATAAAGGCTGTTTCCCAAAATATACAAATAACTCTTAAAACACAACAATAAGAAAACAAACAACCCAATTAAAAAATGGGCCAAAGATCTTAATAGACAGATGGAAAATATATACAGATGGAAAATAAGCATATGAAAAGATGCCCCACCTCATATGTCATTAGGGGAATTTAAATTAAAACAATAATGAGATGCCACTGCACACCCATTAGAATGGCCAAACATAAAAGCTCCCAAACATAAAAATATTCACACACATCAATTTTTACCCACCCTTGATAACCATTACTCGATGAAACAGAAACATGCCCTTGAGATGGTGCAGTGAAGTTAAGAAGCTCTGAAATTAGTCCCAACGTCTCCACAGGAAACCTCAGGGATCCTCTGTCTCCTTGGAGTCAGCCCTGCTAACTGTGATTCCCACCCTGCCTTCTCCACCTAGAGAGATCACAGGACAAACTCCCCTGAGAGGTCAGTGCACCACAAGTCTCTCAGCCTAACAAGAGCCCCAGAGTCCAGGAGGACAGAACTCAAACGCATGAAAATGACTGAGCTTCCACAATCAAGAGAGTTCTTGCCACTTGATTCAGGGTATCTGTACCTTCTGCTTGTGGAGCTTGGAAAGGACCATAGGTTAGGAAAGAAATGAGGATTTGAGGCCAGAAAAGGGAAATGTGCTATCCCAGGAGAGCAGTGTAGCAGTTCCTCCCTCCTTTCCTGTTCTTCTCCTTGCTAATTTGCCCAGAAGTTAAGAGGGGAAATGTGAGGAAGCTGAGTGTCGGCTGAGGAGCAGACTTGGAATTAGTTCACAGATGTTGTGCAGAAGATCAGCTTCTGGAGAAACTTGGAAGCAAAGAAAAGCCTCTGGATTTGGAGGTGAGCTTCAGTGCACTGGCCACCCACCTGGCCACTCCAACCCAGTTTGGCACTTCCTCTTTCCTTTCTGATAGTTTCAAATATTTCATGAATTATTAAGTCACAGGGTCCAACTGAAATCCTCATCTGGTTTTTGGCTTTAGGTCCATCCAGCTTGACATCTCAGCCATCAATGTCACATGTTTTGGGGGAAGCAAAACCTCATCAGTAGAAAAGAAAAAAACCTCTTGTATTCCCGGGCTCTCACACTCACTCCGTGCTTTTAGAATCATTCTCCCTGATTCTCAGATCCAAAACCTTCTTCCTTTTTTCTAGTCGCAAGCGTGGGTGATCCTCATGCCTACAACCTAGACTCAAGCATCCAACTCAATCCAATCTCCACTCATTTTTTTTATTCTGCGTTCCCCAGGCAGCCTTTTCCTGAATGACTCATTTTTGAATAATACTCGGTGTTTGACAAACTGCTTTTCAGACATGGTATCTCACTGGCCATTCATAAAACATCAAGAATGAGCTTGTGAGCAGGTGGTAGGGAACAAATCAAACCCGCATATTCTGTCTCAAGTCCAGGCCACTGTCCACTGCACCACAACAACTCCATACCCAAACACGCCCTGACACGCCCCAGCCATTTTACCCACCTGATTGTGGCCACTCACAGGTATTGAGTTTTTCAAATCCCACATCTGTACAACACAGAAAGATAGGTCATCTCTCTAGCAATGGTAGATACAAGGATAGATTCCCAACAGAGGACAAGAAAGTGTGTCAGTTGTGTTTGGTGGGGAGAGGGGTAGTTCAAACAGAAAATTATCAAAATTAGGGAAACATAGTGCCACACCACACACGTATATATGATATATATCACAAATATGCATGTGTGTGTAAGGAAGTTTGGGGTTCAAGCCCTTGTTACTATTCACTTTCTTAGTGACATTGAACAAATCACTTCACCTTTCTTTTTTTTTTTTTTTGAGACAGAGTCTCACTCTGTTGCCCAGGTAAGAGTGCTGTGGCATCAGCCTAGCTCACAGCAACCTCCAACTCCTGGGCTCAAGGGACCCTTCTGCCTCAGCCTCCTGAGTAGCTGGGCTACAGGTGTGCACCACCATGTCCAGCTAATTTTTTCAATTTTTAATTGTCTGGCTAATTTCTTTCTATCTTTAGTAGAGACAGGATCTCGCTCTTGCTCAGGCTTTGACCTCAAGTGATCCTCCTACCTCGGCCTCCCAGAGTGCTAGGATTACAGGTATGAAGCACTGCGCCCAGCCAAAATTACTTCATCTTTCTAAGCCTTGTGTGTGTGAAATGGTGATAGTTAAGCACATGTACCTTCTAATTCCTTACTATGAGATTTAGTGAGATGCTTATCATGTACCCGATACTAACAAATTTTCAATAAATATTGGTTATTATTGACCTTAATTACTGATTCACTCAAATCATTTAATGCATAAACAAATACTTCTTCCATAAAATCTTTAAAAATCATGAACTTAGTCTCACAGCCAGTAAGGGATACATATTTCAAGCATGTGAATTAATTAGTTTAGAGACCATCCAGGAATAGCAGACGAGAGAAGATGACACTGAGGTTGATGGTGAACAATAGCTTTTTCTGAGGTTTACGGTATACTTGTCCCTCTTCTAAGTCCTTTAATACATTATTTCATTCAATCCTCATGACAATGAACATATTTTTGTTTGATTTCACACATTTTCACACAGAAAACTGACATTAAAAAATGCTTGGTAACTTACAATACAAATATAGGCGTTTAATTTTTAAACAAGTTAATATGTAAACAGACAACATTTTTTAAGTGTGTGAAAATTCCAATGTATCAGGTCCATTCACAGTGTGCAAAAGAATATGCTGACTCTAAAGAAGTTATTTTAAACATTTTGATAATGCAAGCATGTTTGCTGTCAAGATTTTTATGGTAGCCAAAAATAGATAAATAACCAATATTTTAAAATGCTTGAATATCTCTTTGTAATATGTCTATTCACAGCTATGGATGAATTGGCTTACTCTAAAAATTTAACATTTTGCTCATACAAGAACTTTAACTGCGGAGTTTTTTGTAGTAGCAAGAAATGGAGGCCACTTTGATGTTCTATTGCTGGGTAACTAGACATGACTGGGAAAAACACATAAAAAATTAACATGTTATGCATAGATATTTGTGGATAAACATGTGAAAGATGAATTAGAAAAGCATAAAGTTTTTACTTAACAATGGATGTCCATTCTGGACAAATGTGATTTAGGTCCCGGGATTAAAGAAGAGGAAAACAAGTTACAAAGAGGGGAGGCTTGTGCAGACTGATGATGATAGTATGTCATGAGCTAGGGAGGATGACTCTCTCATTCTGTGCCCAGAGGAGAAAAAAATGACTCTGTCTAACTGGGTTCAACAATCCTCTTAGATATGCCCTCTTTTCAAGACAATGCAAAGATAAATTTCAGCATGACACAACAGAATTTGCTTTGATAGAGAATGAGTGTCGACTGGCCATGGTGGCTTACTCCTGTAATTCTAGCACTCTGGGAGGCTGAGTCAGAAGAATTGCTTGAGGTCAGGCATTTGAGACCAGCCTCAGCAACAGCAAGACCTGGTCTCTACCAAAAATAGAAAGAAATTAGCAGGGCAACCAAAAAATAGAAAAAAATATCTGGGCGTAGTCGTGTAGTCGTGCACACCTGTAGTCCCAGCTACTCGGGGGGCTGAGGCAGGAGGATTGCTTGAGCCCAGAAGTTTGAGGTTGCTGTCAGCTCGGCTGATGCCACGACACTCTAGCCTGGGTGACAAAGCAAGACTCTGTCTCAAAGAGAGAGAGAGAGTGAGAGAGAGAGAGAATGCTTGTCCTGTTACCTCCCTATCTAAAACAGTCCCATCTTCACTCCCCATCCATGTCCATCTCCAAATACTGCTTTATTTTGTTCACAAATGCATCCCTACTTGATATTATACTACATATTTAATAGTGTATCTCCCCGACTAGAACATCAGCCCCACAAAAGGGACCCGTGTGTACTAATGCTATGTCCCCAGAAGGGGAACAATGCTCTCCACAGAACAGGAACTAATGAGTCTGAATCAGAGAGGTCCACCTCTGATGGTTTCTAAAGGAAAACTCTTCTCTGTCCTTCCAGATTTCAACATCAGGCCCTTGTGAGGGCCATGGATTTGGGAAGGGAGGACCACATACCATGGGCAAACACATGAGGTTGACAGGCTGTCCCACGACTAGTACAGCAGCCAATGTGTCCAAATGGAGGATGCCAAGACTTGCTAGATTCTCATGATTTGTGTTAGGAAATCAGAGCATGTTAAATAACAAAACTTGCATGTAACTGGGCTCACATCAATGGAAAGAATCAACCAAACCAGCAGTGTCTCTGAATTTATTCTCCTGGGACTCTCCTCCCGGCCTGAGGACCAAAAGCCACTCTTTGTCCTGTTCCTCACTGTGTACCTGGTCACGCTAACGGGGAACCTGCTCATTATCTTGGCCATCTGCTCTGACCCCCAGCTCCAGACCCCCATGTATTTCTTCTTGAGTTTTCTGTCTTTCACTGACATTTGCTTCACAACAACTGTTGTCCCCAAGATGCTGATGAACTTCCTGTCAGAGAAGAAGACTATCTCCTATGAAGGGTGTCTGACACAGATGTATTTTCTCTACGCCTTTGGCAACACTGACAGCTGCCTGCTGGCAGTCATGGCCTTTGATCGCTATGTGGCTATCTGTGACCCCTTCCACTATGTCACCACGATGAGCCACCACCGCTGTGTTCTCCTGGTGGCCTTCTCTTGCTCATTTCCTCACCTTCACTCACTCCTGCACACACTTCTGCTGAATCTTCTCATCTTCTGTGACTCCAATGTTATTCACCACTTTCTCTGTGACCTCAACCCTCTGCTGAAATTGTCCTGTTCTTCTATATTTGTCAATGAAATTGTGATTATGACAGAAGTGCCTATTGTTTTAGTGACTCCCTTTCTATGCATTGTTTTCTCCTATGCAAGAATCTTCGTAACGGTTCTCAAGATTCCCTCTGCCACTGGGAAACGCAAAGCCTTCTCTACCTGTGGTTCTCACCTTACCGTGGTAACACTCTTTTATGGAAGCATCTTCTACGTCTACTTACAGCCCCTGTCCACCTACACCATCAAGGACCACATGGCAACAATTGTCTATACAGTTTTGTCATCCATGCTAAACCCTTTTATCTACAGCCTGAGAAACAAAGACCTGAAACAAGGCCTGAGGAAGGTCATGGGCAAGAGGAGGTCCTAGACAGCATGCTCTTAAACCCACAAGTGCAAATGTGCCCCACTCAGAACTGGTTTCTACTGGCTCTTGGCAAACAACCAAGATGTAGGAGGTTAGCAGTTTTGCCCCATGTGAGACAAGGCTATCGTGGGCACTTGCATCCATTGATGACAGCCCACCAAGTGGCCCAGCATCTGCTTAAATCACAATACTCTTCCTCTCCATTCTTCCTCCTTCCTAGGAAGATTCATTTCTCTACTTTCTCATCTTGCAAATACTGCTTTAAACTAATCCTTTTCCCACAAATATGTCCCAGACAGATTTCTCTCTGTTTATTAAGACTGACCCTCCAAAATTCTTCACATTTCAATATATGACTGAAAAAAAAACTATAATTTGTAGCTGTTTAATGTCTTTGCAAACATTTGAAGAGGGAACTAATGGAGGAAAAGATGGAAGGGAAGATACATATTTTAGCTAATTTACTTGTTTTGAGGATTTTTCTAATTTCTTACTTTTCTCTTTCTAAAAATATTTTCTTACATAAGTCTTAAGTTTTTACTTTTACTTTTCTCTATCTTTCTATCCTTCCTTTATTATACGACTATGACTTTATTTCCTTTTAATTTTCTGTTATCTTTCACCATGCAATTAAAAAATACTAATGGTCAGAAAGAACAAGAACCAGGAGTGATAATGTGGAAATTATTCATTTTATATTTCTTCTCTCCACCTGTCCCTAAAATATGTGATTTTGTACTTTATTTAGAAACTCCCATTCCTAGGACTCTAGCCTATATAAGTATTATTTTACAAATTTGTATTGAGGAATATTATTGTAAATGTATATTGTATAGTGAGATATGTATGTATATATCCAAAGATATTCATGGAATACCAGTTTATAATAGGTAAAAAATGGTAACAACCTAAAATCTTAACAATAGGGAAATGTAGAAAGATGTTATGATTATTTCCATAAAGCATAACTATAGGCAGCAGGTTCAAAGAATCAAACAAATTTATCTCTATTACCACCTTGGAAAGCCATTAAGTAGGAAAATTATTATGTGGAATAAAATGTAAAAGCATGAATTCATTATGTTAAAAATTATATAAGTTTATATGTATGTATAGCCACTGGAGTAAAAATGGAAGTCCAAGAGGGAACAGGGAGGGAGAGCATCTCCACTTTTTTATACATATTGTAAGTTCTGAAATTGTTCAAATAAACATTTATTCCTCATAGAATTTAAAACTATGAACAAATAAGATGACCAATGCACTGGTGGAAGACTTTATAAAATACCAGCAGAAGAGAAACTTTCTGAGTGCTTGCATATCTGAAAACTTTATTTTTTGGCACTTTCACTTTGATAGACAATTTGGTAGGATCCAGTATGTTAGGTACCCATCTATAGATGCCCTATGTAGGCCTCAGAGGAGCATACTCTCATTCCATCCACCTTACTCCAAGCCTGAGTTCAGGAACTCAGTCATTGTTCCTGACTGTGTCTTTTCCCATGCATGTGTCAATATGTAGCAAAAAGTAAGAAGTAAAACACCAGGCAGACAGTTCTTAGACTTGGCATCAAAAGCAAAAATGTAATCAATAAAAGGAAAAATTGAAAAATTGAACTTTATGGGTGAAAATATTTGCAAACCATACCTTTGATAAAGAGCTAGTATCTAGACTGTGTAGAGAAGTTTAAAAATTCAACAGTAAAAAGTAAGCCATCCAGTCTTCAAGTGGTGCGCCCTGTACCCACCATGAAAATGCGTACCCTTCCCCTTCTCCCCCCTTCCACCTATTCACCTCCCATTAACAAAAAAAATTTTTAAGACATTTTGGTTACAGTGTGTTTCTTTGCCTCTCCCTAAAAAGGGATAGAGGTAATCCTTTCCCCCCTACAATGCTCATCACATCCTTAAGATGTGGGTCGCTCCCCCTCAGATCCCTGTTGAACACTACAATTATTTGAACACCATAGTTTTAGGCAGAGCGTGGTGGGGAGGGGGACAGGGGCAAGATATGTAACCCTAACAACATTTTTACCCACAGAATTTGGGAAAAAATAAAAAAAAAAAGATCTGACCTTCTGAGAAATCAGAAGAGATGACAGCCAAATCCCCAGATAAGCCAGTTTTATTTAGCATGATAAGGAAGCTCCCTCTGCTTTAACCCACACAAGAAAAGTAACCTGATGTTAACCAATCTGCTTTTTGCACTATGTTGTTTCTTTGTTTCTGCTCAAGCTATCCATGTCCAGCTTAGTACCTTTCTATTTTATAAATGGGATACTGCACAATTAATGAGTTGCAAATAAAAGCCAATTCAATCATTTTTTTAAAAAAAATGAGATTTGACAGTATACCTATTGGAATGGCTAAAATAAAAAAAAATAATGGCAACATCAAATTCTCATAAGGATGCAGAGAAATTAGACAACTCATACTTTGCCTGGTGGGACTACCAAATAATGTAGTCACTCAGAAAACTGTTTGGAAGTTTCTTTACAAGCAGAGCATGCCACTACCATACAATCCAGAAATTGCATTTATCCCAAAGACATTAAAACTTATGTTCACGCAAACACACACAAAAAACTTGTATAAATATGTACATTCTTTGCAGCTTTATTTGTAATAGCCAAGAACTGGAAAAGCCCAGGTACTTTCACAAATGAATGATTAAATATAGAGTGGCAATCCATACCACAGAGTATTACTCAGCGATTTAAAAAATGAACTGTTAGTAAATACAGCAAGCTATATGAATCTCCAGGGAATTATGCTGAGTGAAAAGAGCCAATCCCCAAAAAGATTACATAGTGTGTTATTTCATTTATGTAACATTCGTAAGATGACAAAATTATAGAACTGAAGAACAGATTAGTGGTCGCCAGAGTTTAAGGAGGGGGTGGGGGTAGACAGGAAATGGATGCAGGTACAAAAAGGCAACATGAGGGAGTGATGTTGAAAATGTTCTGTATCTTGACTGTATAAATGTCAATATCCTAGTTGTGATACGGCACTATAATTTTGCAAAAAATTATAATTAGGGAAAACTGGGTAAATGGTACATGAGATTTCCCTGTTTTATTTTTATAACTGCATGTAGATCTATAATTATCTCAAAATAAGAAGTTTAATTAAAAGCATGCTTTCAATTACACAATGAAAAATATTAGAAGCAATGGTTAGAAAATGTGAAATAAAATGCAAAACTTCTGAGTGACTTCAGCAAAATAGCAGAGTAGGAGCTATCAGGCTACGTTCTCCCCCACAGAAAGCCAACCAACAAATCTGGCAGCAATATTATCACCCAAAATATTTCAGCCCTCAAAACTACAAAAAGAAGAGCAAATTAAATCCAAAGTAAGCAGAAGAAAAGAATAAGAATTAGAGCAGAATTCTTATTAAACTAGGTAGTATTTCATTGAGTGAATGTATCACAAGTTGTTCTTCATTTACTTGTTGATGGACATTTGGATTGTTTCCAGATTTTGGCTATTACAAATAAAGCTGCCACTGATTTAAATAAAGAAGAAGAAGAAGAAGAATTAGAGCAGAAATCAATGAAATGGAAAACAGAAAATCAATAGAGAACATCAACAAAACCAAAAGCTGGCTCTTTCAAAAGACTGATAAAATGTATAAGCCTCATTACATCCTTAAGATGTGGGTCTCCCCCCCTCAGATCCCTGTTGAACACTACAATTATTTGAACACCATAGTTTTAGGCTGTCAGTACCAATTTGATGGCGGAGTAGATATGTAGCCCATTTTCCAGGTCTTGTGTCGTCTCGCTTTGTCAAAAAAAAAAAAAAAATTGTTAATGGGAGGTGAATAGGTGGAAGGGGGGAGAAGGGGAAGGGTACGCACTTTCATGGTGGGTGCAGGGCGCACCACTTGAAGACTGGACATGCTTGAAGCTCTGGCAGAGCGGGGTGGGGAGGGGGGCAGGGGCAAGATATGTAACCCTAACAATATTTGTACCCACAGAATTTGGGAAAAAATAAAAAAATTAATTAAAAAAATGTATAAGCCTCTAGCCAGGCTAACTATGGGAAAGAGAAAACAAACTACTAACTACTAATATTAGAAATGAATAAGGGGGGATTGCTACAGATCCCATGAACATTTAAAGGAATAATAAAGGAATACTATAAAGAACTCTATGCCCACAAATTTGGTAATTTAAGTGCAATGCACCAATTCCTTGAAAGCCATAATCTGCTAACACCCACACAAAAAGAAACAGACGATATTAATAGGCCTATATCTGTTAAAGAAATTGACTCAGTAACTAATAACCTTCACCAACAGAAAGTATCAGACCCAGATGGGTTCACTGGTGAATTTTACCAAACATTTAAGGAAGAATTTATATCAATTTTCTACAATCTCTTCCAGAAAATAGAAGCATAGGAAATACTTCTTAACTCATTATGTGAGGCCAGAAATACCTTAATACCAATACCAAAGATATTATAAGAAAAGTGCAGATCAATATCTGTCATGAATATGGTTGCCAAAACCCTCAATAAAACTAGGAATAGAGGGGAATTTTCTCAATGTGATAAAAGATATCTACAAAAAATACCCCACAGTTAACATCATACTTAATGGTGAGAAACTAGAAGCTTGCCCACTAAGATAAGGAACAAGGCAAGAATGTCCCTTCTTACCACTCCTTTTCAACATCATACTGGAAGTCCTAACTAATGCACTGAGATCAAAATAAATAAATAAATAAATATAAATAAATAAAAAAAATAAAAAGTATATAGATTGTGAAGGAAGAAATAAAACTGTCTTGGTTTGCAGATGGCACGATCTATGTAGAAATCCAAAAGAATTGTCAAAAACCATCCTGGAAATAGTAAACAATTACAGCAAGGGTCCAGGATTCAAGGTTCATATACAAAATTTAATTGCTGTCTGATATACCAGCAATGAACAAGTGAAATTTGAAATTAAAAACAAATTGCCATTTATACTAGCACTTCCCAAAAGTGAAATACTTAGGTATCAATTTAACAAAATATGTATAAGATAAGAGAGAAATTGCAAAACTCTGGTGGAAGAAATCAAAGCAGAACTAAGTACATGGAGAGATATTCCACTTTCATGGATAGGAAAAGTCAATATTATTATGGTGTCAGTTCTTCCCAATTTGACCTACATATTTAACATAATCTCAATCAAAATCTCAGGAAGTTATTTTGTGGATATCACCAAACAGATTCTAGAGTTTGTGTGGAGTCAAAAGACTCAGAATAGTTAACACAA